TTGGAAGGATTTGAAGAAATTAATCCAAATTCCTCCCCAAAATTCATCCAAACAAGCCCAAAAAGAGCTCAACAAAGCACTCCCGAGTAGAATGTGTTGGAATCAAAGTAATTTTTGATCGATTTTAAGTTTAAATTACAATGAAACTCACTCGTCGTTTCAAGTAAACTTTCATAAATTCATATTTTACTCTGTGAGTAAAATAATATAATATATTTATTTGCTCAAATCAAGTAAGAAATAAGTGAGAAAATAAACTCTAAAATGACCTATTTGAATTATGGAAATAGATGTAGTGTAGTGTGGGACTTGACACCAATCCCACATTGGTTGAAGAAGAAATTTTACTTGTGCATATATATATCAAATTTGCTCTATGGGTTGGACCCCAAGGACTATCACATTTTTTTGAGCGAAACGAGCACTTACATAGACTTCAGTTCAACTACACACATGCGTCGCTCGCCTCACCATGACTCGGCACAGGTGTGATTGTGGTTTAGACTCAAGCTTATGTTTTTGTTAAAATTTCGTTTAACGAATTAAGGTAAAATTTCTTAATCGGAATTTAATTTCTAGTGCCCATTGGAATTCAAATTTTCCACTGGTTCAGATTTTTGGTTTTTCTCCGATCCGAATTTTTGAATTCATGTATGTTCAATTAACCTTAAAATCTCAATGGTGTCTTTTGAGCTACTTGTGTCTTCTAGGTTGCATATATTCGCATGGTAACTGTCCAAATCTATCACCATTCTGTCTTTAAATAATCCATATAGAATAAGGAAGTCATTAGCATTCATAATTTCGAAATTAAACATTCTGCATTTTTTGAGAGTATAACACACAATTCTGGTTCGCCAGACATTTAGATTGGAATGCTAGGTCTAAGTGCGTGAAGATCATTGTATTTTGGAAGATAGACACATTGATTTTCATAAACACAAAGAGTGGAAGTGAAATTTGTCTTAAAGACATAGTGTTAAACACTAGCCTTAATTTACATGAAATTCAATCATAGTTCCCGATTTGCAAACGAGTCAGTTTATTTATTATTTAATTATAAATTTGTGTATTACTGTTTCATTCTTGATTGTTGTAGTTTTATTCTAAATTATGTGATATAATCAACGATTTTAATAAGTGATTTTATTATATTTAAAAATTATTATTAATAGAATGCATGCACAAAAATGGGTAGAATTAGACTAGGAAGCAGACCCAATAAAGTCTAGAGTTTTGAGTAAAAGAGGACATTATCTTGTAAGGAACGGGCCTTATCTGAATGGATAGATAAGCAATTCCAAGAAGATTGAGCTGGTATCATAAAACCGAGCAAATCAATGGCTAGGCCATCTTGCAAAATCAGATGCGGTGCAGCCAATAAAAAAATTCCTTAAATTGTAGAGGCACATTGGAAACACGTCACATAAAAAATCGACAAATGAAAAAGGAAGTGAAAAAGATCCTTATATGAATAAAGAAAGATTTGGTTAAAAAATAGGTATTCCACCTTGTACAACCAATGATGAAAATATTTGAAGATGGTACAAAATTACTATAAATACCAAAGAATGCTTTAGCCTACGATTCAGAGCCCCTACAATTAAACCCTATTCACTATAGAATATAGATTGCTGTGGTTTTTTGGTTGAAGATGGTCATAGATAGTGTTCACCCTATATTACACAGGTAGAAATTATAATATTTTATTTTCTTATTCGATATCTTGTAGAAGATTTTTTTTTTGACTTATCCTACCCAATTAAACGTACTATTCTTATCCAAATTTCATCCAAAACATTCAGATAGGAAATCGGATAAACACATATTTTTTAGTTATTAAGTTTTGGATAATTTTAACAATTTAATTAAGTAACATGCATCAATTAATTAAAATAATAAACTAATAACAGTAAAAAAACACAATAAATTTGATAATATATAAACAATTACAATAAAACACAATAAGAAAATCATAAACATCAATAAATCGTATTATATCTGATCTTTCTTGTTAACTTCCCCCACCTTGGATAGAAGACCCTCTTTATTTTTGTACACCATTTCTCATTTGTATTGTGGAACCAATTAGGAACAAAATTTTTTTTTTTTTTGAATGTTATTGTATTCTATTCATGTTCGGATTATATGATTTAAAATTTATATCAAATACTAGTTAACAATAAGTTGATCTATTTAATTAACCGTGTTAGATGATTGACACCAACCAAACTTGCTTATTAATTGTTTTCCTGAAAGAGGGCGCTTTCTCTCACGCCAACAGTCTTCTACTTCTGGTCAATTGCTCTCTACTTTCTTCTCCGACTCAACATTTTGATAAACACAATTTGTGAATTAGAAGTTTAAAATTAGAAATACATTATTCTTTTCATAATTTGAAATCCACCCGGTTTAGATATTTAGGAGAATGGAGTTAAAAATTCTCTCAATTTTTTTTTATAAAAAAGAAAACTTTTACCATGTGATAATTGAAAACATAAAGAAAACCCATCAATCTAAACATATTTGTCAAACTTATAATTCATTTGTTATTTGTACTTTGGGTTCGTAATACAAATTAGTGAATCACCATTTATTAATTTTATATTGAATTAATGTCGGGAAAATATAAATATAATATTTAAATTGGTTAGATCAGACAGATCCTATATTTATGTTTGTGCCATTGTTTTCTATCTGATTTCTGATGCATTTAAAGGGGACGTAAATATGGACTTAATGTCCTTCTGTCAGAGACCTTTAAGGGGGGTTAGTTGGCCAACCTCTCTTCCAATTAATGTAATTCAATTGACAAAACCCAGTTTTTTCCCACACAGCAACTCTGGTCCCACACCTGTGGGCCCCAGTTACATGTGATATGGTCGTTTGCTGGTGCCACCCCCACAGCCTGTTTTGACAGAGGGGATTCAAACTTGAGCACAATTGCAACTTGTTTTTTTGAACGTTTAGGAATATTAGAATTAGTTTACATGCATTTTAATTAATTTTTTCTATTTAATTAATTTTTTTTTTAATTTCAAAATGAACAACTAGTTCAATTATAAGAAATTAAAATTAGGGTTCAAATTTATCCAATTCGTTATTGGTAAGTGACTCACGTTAATATGATGAGACTTGTTATTTTTAATATTATTCATCATCTGGATACGAAATGAACATTAAATTATTATAAGTCTGACATTTAACAATTTTAGTTCAAAATCAGATTGATTGAAAAAGAATTGTTTGACAAATAGTTGATTTAAATGTGATGTATATGATGTAAACACAAGTATATACAATTTATCCATGGCGACAAGCCTAACACCATATACATTAACCTAAAAAAAGAATCATTTTGGGAGAGTTTGGTTGAATCTCTCTATGTTTGTTTTGGTAGTTGAAGATGTTTCAAACTCCAAAACTAAAAGCAACTATCTCTAATTATGATGAAGTGTGAGAGACTTCCATTTATGGGTAAACAAAAGGAAATGTTTAATTACATTTCCATTAGTTATATATTTTTGGTACAAGAATAAAGAATTCCATCATACTATGAGTGGGCACTGGGCACCTCTAACACTCTCAGAGATCAATCGGTCAATCTCATATAAGGCAATGCATTTAAGAGGCACAAGTGCTTTGTATCTGGACAGGTACTTGACAGTAGACCTGAAGGCTAGGAATTTTAGGATTATGGTGTTTTTTCATGGTATTTTTATTCAATTTTAATTAATAGTAGATTAAATGCGTAAAATATTAAAGAATAGATCAAGTAATAACATAAATAAATTATAAATTCAGATATCGTGTATTCGAATCTTGACAATTATTTAAAGACAGACTATGAGAGATTTATTTCACAACCTTAATTCTGTTGTGGATAACCTGTTTTTAACGGAACTAAGAAGGAAATAAATCAAAGTGAGTAAAAATTTATCCCGACATTACTGACCATCGAACAAAAATTTAAAAAATAGATCAAATATGATAAATTTTAGCGAAATGAAAGTAAATGTCAATGACCTACCATTTTATTTGAGAATTAAATGTGTCCGAAAAAGTTTAGTCGAGAGTGGGAGAGGACCGAATGTCTCACAATTAGTGAGAATAGGAAATCGATATCATCATCAACATCAACGTTCAAAACTCTTACCAAAAATATTTCAACCAACATGAAACAGTGCATGTCCACGGGTCGGATTGGTTCGGGATGGCCCGGTTCAACCCACAAAGAGGCCCCCAAGCCCGTGGTCTGGCCCGTAACATAGCTTGCCTACCCACCCAACCGATAAAATCCGCCCATATTAAAGCCTGCCAAAAAATCAACGTTTCGAGTACTATTTTTAATGTTAATTCATAAGTTTTATATATAAAGAATATAAAAGGCTTGTTTGTTTACGGGGTTTGGAAAATTTGGAAGGGCAGTTTAAGAAAAATAGTTCGATCAATCTCATAATTCCCTGTTTGGTTCTTCTATACCTAATAAAATATCTTATTTATCAAATCACATCTCAACCCCTAATTATTTCTCTTTATAATTAAACAAACATGAACATTGATTGGATTGATCAATGGATAATACAGTCATTTATAAAATAAATGTGTGTTGATAATTGTGATAAATTCATTGGTCCTATATGTATATATGTCACTAAACGCAAGCATGGATATGATTCATATATGAATTTCATACAGGTGGAAATTGAGTTTGAAAGGGTTTGATAAAATCAATCAAATCTCTTATCTCAAAACCATCCAACCATGCCCAAAATATGGCATAGTCATAAATTTCAAAATTTAAACTATTTTTTTTTACGAGGGCGGATTGAGACTGAAATGCGCATGACCCGTCCATTAATCAGAGTCATGGCCATGGGCCGAGCCATGGTCCACGTCCTCAAACCCGCAGCCCGACCCGGCTATTTGACCCTTTTTTCTTTTTTTTGACTGCACCCTCCATGGACACTCCTAGTGATCGTCATTTATACCAAGGAGTAATGGCGGGGTTGGCAATGAGGGTGGAAGAAAATCAATGATATTTTTCCCACTTGGAGCTATAATTTTTTTAAAAAAATGTCACCGTCGTACTCTTACATAATATTATTATATTTTACGAGAAAACAAAAATAAAATCTTTTAAGACGAGGATATAAGAAATTTATTTTTCATAAATATCTTAATTCTGACTTATTTTTAACTGCATCATCTCAAAAATATTAATCAAATTAATTATAAGTTATTCCAAACATTGCTAATCGCAGGAGAAAAAAAAAGAAAGAATCCAAAGCCTCTTAAAAGTCCTGAATCCCTCTAACCAAACAATTTTAAATGCAAACCTAGCAGAGTGACCTTGACCGTACATTTTTCTGTCCTAGTTAATTGGAGGTGGTCTTACTTTGGTCACAGCTCAGAAGCGAAGAGACTTCTTAGTTCTTACTCTTTGAAACTTAGTTTCTCTGAGACTCCCATATTGCATGCAGAATGGCTATGCTGGTGATGAGGGTGGTGGTGGCTGTGGTGGTGTTGGTTCTCTTACTGGCGTTAGGTTCGCGGGCAGTGGATGTTCATCAGCTAAGGCTGGTGGCGGCCAAGTATAATGTAACCTCCATCATAGTTTTTGGCGATTCCAGTGTTGATCCTGGCAACAACAACCTTCTCGATACCAATGCGAAAGGAAATTTCCCACCTTACGGGGAAGACTTCTTTAATCACCGCTCTACCGGAAGGTTGAGCAATGGAAGACTTGCCACGGACTTCATCGGTAACCAAAAACCAGTCTTGCCATGTTTTACTTTTTTCGGTTTTTAGACCACATTATTATCCCCTTAGGCATGTAAATCGAGGGTGTTAAGAGAGATGAACTAGATATAAATCTAATCATTAACATTATTTGTACAAAGTGTTTACGCTCGAATTTGTTTTAATGTAGAGGAAAGAGATTGACTTAAGGGGTAGCTTGCTCTTTGTGCATTGGTGCATGCATGCACTTGAATCTATAAAAGATTGTTGGCTTCATATTCATCAAAGATATCTAGCACACCATCTACATCTTCATTTATACTTTCTTTCTTTTTATTAGGGACGAGATTACATATATTTGACACTCTTTAAACTTTTGTAATAGCGGAAGTTTTGTTCACGAGACTTCCTTTTTATGTCNTTTTTTAAGACGAGGATATAAGAAATTTATTTTTCATAAATATCTTAATTCTGACTTATTTTTAACTGCATCATCTCAAAAATATTAATCAAATTAATTATAAGTTATTCCAAACATTGCTAATCGCAGGAGAAAAAAAAAGAAAAGAATCCAAAGCCTCTTAAAAGTCCTGAATCCCTCTAACCAAACAATTTTAAATGCAAACCTAGCAGAGTGACCTTGACCGTACATTTTTCTGTCCTAGTTAATTGGAGGTGGTCTTACTTTGGTCACAGCTCAGAAGCGAAGAGACTTCTTAGTTCTTACTCTTTGAAACTTAGTTTCTCTGAGACTCCCATATTGCATGCAGAATGGCTATGCTGGTGATAAGGGTGGTGGTGGCTGTGGTGGTGTTGGTTCTCTTACTGGCGTTAGGTTCGCGGGCAGTGGATGTTCATCAGCTAAGGCTGGTGGCGGCCAAGTATAATGTAACCTCCATCATAGTTTTTGGCGATTCCAGTGTTGATCCTGGCAACAACAACCTTCTCGATACCAATGCGAAAGGAAATTTCCCACCTTACGGGGAAGACTTCTTTAATCACCGCTCTACCGGAAGGTTGAGCAATGGAAGACTTGCCACGGACTTCATCGGTAACCAAAAACCAGTCTTGCCATGTTTTACTTTTTTTGGTTTTTAGACCACATTATTATCCCCTTAGGCACGTAAATCGAGGGTGTTAAGAGAGATGAACTAGATATAAACCTAATCATTAACATTATTTGTACAAAGTGTTTACTCTCGAATTTGTTTTAATGTAGAGGAAAGAGATTGACTTAAGGGGTAGCTTGCTCTTTGTGCATTGGTGCATGCATGCACTTGAATCTNTTTTTAAGACGAGGATATAAGAAATTTATTTTTCATAAATATCTTAATTCTGACTTATTTTTAACTGCATCATCTCAAAAATATTAATCAAATTAATTATAAGTTATTCCAAACATTGCTAATCGCAGGAGAAAAAAAAAGAAAAGAATCCAAAGCCTCTTAAAAGTCCTGAATCCCTCTAACCAAACAATTTTAAATGCAAACCTAGCAGAGTGACCTTGACCGTACATTTTTCTGTCCTAGTTAATTGGAGGTGGTCTTACTTTGGTCACAGCTCAGAAGCGAAGAGACTTCTTAGTTCTTACTCTTTGAAACTTAGTTTCTCTGAGACTCCCATATTGCATGCAGAATGGCTATGCTGGTGATGAGGGTGGTGGTGGCTGTGGTGGTGTTGGTTCTCTTACTGGCGTTAGGTTCGCGGGCAGTGGATGTTCATCAGCTAAGGCTGGTGGCGGCCAAGTATAATGTAACCTCCATCATAGTTTTTGGCGATTCCAGTGTTGATCCTGGCAACAACAACCTTCTCGATACCAATGCGAAAGGAAATTTCCCACCTTACGGGGAAGACTTCTTTAATCACCGCTCTACCGGAAGGTTGAGCAATGGAAGACTTGCCACGGACTTCATCGGTAACCAAAAACCAGTCTTGCCATGTTTTACTTTTTTCGGTTTTTAGACCACATTATTATCCCCTTAGGCATGTAAATCGAGGGTGTTAAGAGAGATGAACTAGATATAAATCTAATCATTAACATTATTTGTACAAAGTGTTTACTCTCGAATTTGTTTTAATGTAGAGGAAAGAGATTGACTTAAGGGGTAGCTTGCTCTTTGTGCATTGGTGCATGCATGCACTTGAATCTATAAAAGAATGTTGGCTTCATATTCATCAAAGATATCTAGCACACCATGTACATCTTCATTTATACTTTATTTCTCTTTATTAGGGACGAGATTACATATATTTGACACTCTTTAAACTCTCGTAATAGCGGAAGTTTTGTTCACGAGACTTCCTTTTTATGTCAAAAAAACTCATGCTCGTTCACTTTAATATATATATTTTCGATTTTTGTAGCCGAGGCATTAGGCTATACAACCATCATTCAAGGCTATCTTGACCCTCACAAAAGGAAAGCAGATCTTGTGCACGGTGTTAGTTTTGCATCAGCAGGTTCTGGCTACGATGACCTCACTGCTAATCTCCGGGTAAGTCTTCTATTTATCTGATAGTTATAGGTTAATAGCAGAATGTATAAATAGGTGGATCCAGATCCTTGGAATACTTTTTCTCTCCATTTTACCCGTTAGTAGATCCCTCACCATGTATACGTGAGAGACAAACTGACATGTAATTAAGTCATCAACATTACAACTAGTCATGCTTAACTGGGATTAAGTTACAATCATGTTTGGATGCAACCTGCAAAGGTATATATCTCGGATGAGTACATCTCAAGATCAGTTTCTACCTGTTAAGTTTAAAGATCGCAAGAGACAAGTTGCTTAATTAACACGATACGCACGAGTTATGGGTTATTGCACGTATTTGGAGTTTATATTGTCGTTAAAAGTTTAAAAGGACAAAAGAGATCACGACAGTTGTCGATTATTGCAACAAGGAAAGAATAATGTTTGAATGAAATTGATCTTGTCTTGCTTCATACAGAAATGAAAATTTACTTACCCTTTTATGTTTTTAAATCCATGAACCAGAATGTGTTGACTATTTCCAAGCAATTAGAGTATTTCAAACATTATAAGACTCAAGTGAAGCAAATGGCGGGAGAGCAAAAGGGTGAAGAAATCCTCCAAAATGCAATATATCTTCTAAGCATGGGAACAAATGACTTTCTTCAAAACTATTTCCTCGAACTCAACCGCTCCGAGACATTCACAGTGGAACAGTACGAGGATTACTTGATCTCTTGCATGGCTCGTGATGTTAAGGTTCTCTCTCTATCTCTCTCTTACACACACAGTAGGCGCATTTGCATGCCTTTTTTTTTTTTTGCTTTGGGGTGGGGTGCACTCACCATGAACAAGTGTTTGTAGAGAAAAAAAAGTGAACTAAAATTTGCACTAAATCACTTGAGACTGTTGAATCAGTGAGTACGTATCATCACTAATCCAATAATTATAGTTGATTTGGTGCAAATTTTGGTGCACATAAAATTATCTTATGGAAAAGTCTCAAAGGTAAGAGTAATGTTATTTGGATCTAAAAATATGATCTTATTTCAAAGGTAAGTACTAAAAATCCACAAGTGTTTGCGTCTCGCAAAATATATATATCTTATTGGAATTTATGCAACCCAAAAAAGGGACACACTACCCTACTTAACCTTTGATTAATCCAATGTCTCAATCAAATGTTTTAGGGAAATGAAATGATTACAACCAAAAAAACACTAACCAAATGAATGTAAATGGTTTAATTTGCTGGTTTTATTAGATCTTAAAAAATTAATAGGACCCACTGATCTAACTATTCATGTTGATTTGATAATCTTTTTGGTAATTTGTTTAGTATAGAGTGAAGCTTTTAAAATGACAAATCTTGTTTTTGCAGGCAATGTATACCCTTGGAGTTAGGAGATTAGTGGTAGTGGGACTTGCCCCATTTGGGTGCACCCCACTTATCAAAACACTAAGGGACGACACCAAGTGCGATGCTACATTTAACAGTGTGGCCCTCTCATTCAATTCTAAGTTAAAGGCAAGGTTGGCAATTCTTAAGAAATCATTGGGGATGAAAGCTGCCTATATAGATGTATACAACATGGTTGACAAGGCTATTCAGAACCCACAAAAATATGGTAAGTACAGCATATTAAGTTTGAGTTAATAATGACTTCCAATTAAATCAATTTCTTTAATATTAGACAAGTTTATATTTTATATCCTTATAAGTTTGCACCTGATTTTTACTTTGGCTTCCGTGTAATTAATTGAAATAATCGTCTCTCAATTTTAAATCATGTTTCAATCAAGTCTCTAAATTTGAAGCTATGTTTTTAAAGGATGAGCATCAAATGAGCGTCACGTGCGTGATCTAATTCGGACTATATGTACCATAATAATTTATGTTTTCAAATTGAAAGTATTAACTCGTCCTTTATAGATTTGAGCTCTTCAATTGCTTGCTTTAACTCAATTTTTGTAGATTTATTTATTTGGTAAAAATTATTTCTATGAATGAGACACGTATAACAGATTTGGATAATGAAATGTAAATAAAACACCCTCGATTTTTTTTTAGTTGGTACATTAGAGCGAACTTTAGGGGTGTAAAATATAATTTACCGCTATAAGTTATTTTTACCAAATTTTTGTTAAATTTGGCAGGTTTCTCAGAGACTTCAAAGGGGTGTTGTGGGACAGGAACTATTGAATATGCTGGTTCATGCAAAGGGTTGAGTACATGTGCTGATAGAACAAAATATCTATTCTGGGATGCAGCTCATTTCACTGAAAAAATGTACAAGATCATTGCTGATGAGGCTTTGACATCAGTCATTGAGAGTTTGTTGAACTAAGGATCATAAGTTTGGGTAATTGGTATGGTATAGTGGTAATGTGATTTAAGGATATTTTGGTATTTGGCAAGAATTTTTAATTAGTATGTATGACTATTTATAAGTATTGGGTTGTGTTGTACTTCCATGCTATGTAGTCCAATGTACTTGTACCCTTAATTGTAGAATTCTCTCTCTCTCTATCTCTCTCTCACACACACACACATCAAGTAAGTTAATACTCTCTTTTGACTTTTGAGAGTCTAACTCGAAACCTCATAATAGATCTCCTAAAATTTTCTTATTTGAGATATAATGATAGAACTCATATTGAATAGAGATTCATATACTACCACCAGTTGAAGTCTATCGAGATGATTTTTGGACACCTTNTTTTTTTTTTTTTGCTTTGGGGTGGGGTGCACTCACCATGAACAAGTGTTTGTAGAGAAAAAAAAGTGAACTAAAATTTGCACTAAATCACTTGAGACTGTTGAATCAGTGAGTACGTATCATCACTAATCCAACAATTATAGTTGATTTGGTGCAAATTTTGGTGCACATAAAATTATCTTATGGAAAAGTCTCAAAGGTAAGAGTAATGTTATTTGGATCTAAAAATATGATCTTATTTCAAAGGTAAGTACTAAAAATCCACAAGTGTTTGCGTCNGGTTCATGCAAAGGGTTGAGTACATGTGCTGATAGAACAAAATATCTATTCTGGGATGCAGCTCATTTCACTGAAAAAATGTACAAGATCATTGCTGATGAGGCTTTGACATCAGTCATTGAGAGTTTGTTGAACTAAGGATCATAAGTTTGGGTAATTGGTATGGTATAGTGGTAATGTGATTTAAGGATATTTTGGTATTTGGCAAGAATTTTTAATTAGTATGTATGACTATTTATAAGTATTGGGTTGTGTTGTACTTCCATGCTATGTAGTCCAATGTACTTGTACCCTTAATTGTAGAATTCTCTCTCTCTCTATCTCTCTCTCTCACACACACACACATCAAGTAAGTTAATACTCTCTTTTGACTTTTGAGAGTCTAACTCGAAACCTCATAATAGATCTCCTAAAATTTTCTTATTTGAGATATAATGATAGAACTCATATTGAATAGAGATTCATATACTACCACCAGTTGAAGTCTATCGAGATGATTTTTGGACACCTTTTTTTACCCCCACCCTTTTAAAGGAAAAAAAAAGAGAATCATATACTAATTGTTGCAACTAATCAAAAGCAGCTCTCTATGCTTGAGTTCACTCTTACTATATATAGTCATTGATGATGTTCTTAACATGATTGAGCAGTAATGAGAATATAAAGTGCACTGAACAGTTAGGTTTAGTTCAGTTTGAACTTTAAGGCTCTTGAGAATAGAATCTAGGAAAAAAGGGGGGGTGATCAGACAGAATGTTTATAGTGATTTATCAGTTTGGGAGCTCGACTAATCCACTCTCAAGGGAGTCTCTTACTCTTGAGTATATTGATCACTTGGGAGTTTACAGAAAGTATTTTAGTGAGGCTACAACGACTTGTTGTTTTTGTCGAGGGCATTGCCTCNCTCGCAAAATATATATATCTTATTGGAATTTATGCAACCCAAAAAAGGGACACACTACCCTACTTAACCTTTGATTAATCCAATGTCTCAATCAAATGTTTTAGGGAAATGAAATGATTACAACCAAAAAAACACTAACCAAATGAATGTAAATGGTTTAATTTGCTGGTTTTATTAGATCTTAAAAAATTAATAGGACCCACTGATCTAACTATTCATGTTGATTTGATAATCTTTTTGGTAATTTGTTTAGTATAGAGTGAAGCTTTTAAAATGACAAATCTTGTTTTTGCAGGCAATGTATACCCTTGGAGTTAGGAGATTAGTGGTAGTGGGACTTGCCCCATTTGGGTGCACCCCACTTATCAAAACACTAAGGGACGACACCAAGTGCGATGCTACATTTAACAGTGTGGCCCTCTCATTCAATTCTAAGTTAAAGGCAAGGTTGGCAATTCTTAAGAAATCATTGGGGATGAAAGCTGCCTATATAGATGTATACAACATGGTTGACAAGGCTATTCAGAACCCACAAAAATATGGTAAGTACAGCATAGTAAGTTTGAGTTAATAATGACTTCCAATTAAATCAATTTCTTTAATATTAGACAAGTTTATATTTTATATCCTTATAAGTTTGCACCTGATTTTTACTTTGGCTTCCGTGTAATTAATTGAAATAATCGTCTCTCAATTTTAAATCATGTTTCAATCAAGTCTCTAAATTTGAAGCTATGTTTTTAAAGGATGAGCATCAAATGAGCGTCACGTGCGTGATCTAATTCGGACTATATGTACCATAATAATTTATGTTTTCAAATTGAAAGTATTAACTCGTCCTTTATAGATTTGAGCTCTTCAATTGCTTGCTTTAACTCAATTTTTGTAGATTTATTTATTTGGTAAAAATTATTTCTATGAATGAGACACGTATAACAGATTTGGATAATGAAATGTAAATAAAACACCCTCGATTTTTTTTTAGTTGGTACATTAGAGCGAACTTTAGGGGTGTAAAATATAATTTACCGCTATAAGTTATTTTTACCAAATTTTTGTTAAATTTGGCAGGTTTCTCAGAGACTTCAAAGGGGTGTTGTGGGACAGGAACTATTGAATATGCTGGTTCATGCAAAGGGTTGAGTACATGTGCTGATAGAACAAAATATCTATTCTGGGATGCAGCTCATTTCACTGAAAAAATGTACAAGATCATTGCTGATGAGGCTTTGACATCAGTCATTGAGAGTTTGTTGAACTAAGGATCATAAGTTTGGGTAATTGGTATGGTATAGTGGTAATGTGATTTAAGGATATTTTGGTATTTGGCAAGAATTTTTAATTAGTATGTATGACTATTTATAAGTATTGGGTTGTGTTGTACTTCCATGCTATGTAGTCCAATGTACTTGTACCCTTAATTGTAGAATTCTCTCTCTCTCTATCTCTCTCTCTCACACACACACACATCAAGTAAGTTAATACTCTCTTTTGACTTTTGAGAGTCTAACTCGAAACCTCATAATAGATCTCCTAAAATTTTCTTATTTGAGATATAATGATAGAACTCATATTGAATAGAGATTCATATACTACCACCAGTTGAAGTCTATCGAGATGATTTTTGGACACCTTTTTTTACCCCCACCCTTTTAAAGGAAAAAAAAAGAGAATCATATACTAATTGTTGCAACTAATCAAAAGCAGCTCTCTATGCTTGAGTTCACTCTTACTATATATAGTCATTGATGATGTTCTTAACATGATTGAGCAGTGATGAGAATATAAAGTGCACTGAACAATTAGGTTTAGTTCAGTTTGAACTTTAAGGCTCTTGAGAATAGAATCTAGGAAAAAAGGGGGGGTGATCAGACATAATGTTTATAGTGATTTATCAGTTTGGGAGCTCGACTAATCCACTCTCAAGGGAGTCTCTTACTCTTGAGTATATTGATCACTTGGGAGTTTACAGAAAGTATTTTAGTGAGGCTACAACGACTTGTTGTTTTTGTCGAGGGCATTGCCTCCTATTTATAGTTATCCCTGGGTCTGGCTTGATTTGAGACGAGATCCTTACCTTTCTCTTGTAACGGTCGTCTTATTGTGCAACGATTGCACTGGGTGTTGGGACGGTTACAAGATTTGCGTCTACTGAATAACTGTTGCTACAAAGGAGTTACTTGGTGGAATCTAGTTGTCCTCTGCATAACTTTCCTTGAGAGGCAAACACAGGGAGTTTGAGGTTTGAAGTCGAGATCTACATCTATACTACTCTTAAAAGACAACAACTTTGACAAACTTTTATTTTTCATTTATACCCTTAAAAAATACAATAATGTCATTTTATATCCTTGCAATTAAATTGAGATACCCTAAATAATGAATNGTGGTAGTGGGACTTGCCCCATTTGGGTGCACCCCACTTATCAAAACACTAAGGGACGACACCAAGTGCGATGCTACATTTAACAGTGTGGCCCTCTCATTCAATTCTAAGTTAAAGGCAAGGTTGGCAATTCTTAAGAAATCACTGGGGATGAAAGCTGCCTATATAGATGTATACAACATGGTTGACAAGACTATTCAGAACCCACAAAAATATGGTAAGTACAGCATGTAAGTTTGAGTTAATAATGACTTCCAATTAAATCAATTTCTTTAATATTAGACAAGTTTATATTTTATATCCTTATAAGTTTGCACCTGATTTTTACTTTGGCTTCCGTGTAATTAATTAAAATAATCGTCTCTCAATTTTAAATCATGTTTCAATCAAGTTTCTAAATTTTAAGCTATGTTTTTAAAGGATGAGCATCAAATGAGCGTCACGTGCGTGATCTAATTCGGACTATATGTACCATAATAATTTGTGTTTTCAAATTGAAAGTATTAACTCGTCCTTTATAGATTTGAGCTCTTCAATTGCTTGCTTTAACTCAATTTTTGTAGATTTATTTATTTGGTAAAAATTATTTCTATGAATGAGACACGTATAACAGATTTGGATAATGAAATGTAAATAAAACACCCTCGATTTTTTTTTAGTTGGTACATTAGAGCGAACTTTAGGGGTGTAAAATATAATTTACCGCTATAAGTTATTTTTACCAAATTTTTGTTAAATTTGGCAGGTTTCTCAGAGACTTCAAAGGGGTGTTGTGGGACAGGAACTATTGAATATGCTGGTTCATGCAAAGGGTTGAGTACATGTGCTGATAGAACAAAATATCTATTCTGGGATGCAGCTCATTTCACTGAAAAAATGTACAAGATCATTGCTGATGAGGCTTTGACATCAGTCATTGAGAGTTTGTTGAACTAAGGATCATAAGTTTGGGTAATTGGTATGGTATAGTGGTAATGTGATTTAAGGATATTTTGGTATTTGGCAAGAATTTTTAATTAGTATGTATGACTATTTATAAGTATTGGGTTGTGTTGTACTTCCATGCTATGTAGTCCAATGTACTTGTACCCTTAATTGTAGAATTCTCTCTCTCTCTCTATCTCTCTCTCACACACACACACATCAAGTAAGTTAATACTCTCTTTTGACTTTTGAGAGTCTAACTCGAAACCTCATAATAGATCTCCTAAAATTTTCTTATTTGAGATATAATGATAGAACTCATATTGAATAGAGATTCATATACTACCACCAGTTGAAGTCTATCGAGATGATTTTTGGACACCTTTTTTTACCCCCACCCTTTTAAAGGAAAAAAAAAGAGAATCATATACTAATTGTTGCAACTAATCAAAAGCAGCTCTCTATGCTTGAGTTCACTCTTACTATATATAGTCATTGATGATGTTCTTAACATGATTGAGCAGTAATGAGAATATAAAGTGCACTGAACAGTTAGGTTTAGTTCAGTTTGAACTTTAAGGCTCTTGAGAATAGAATCTAGGAAAAAAGGGGGGGTGATCAGACAGAATGTTTATAGTGATTTATCAGTTTGGGAGCTCGACTAATCCACTCTCAAGGGAGTCTCTTACTCTTGAGTATATTGATCACTTGGGAGTTTACAGAAAGTATTTTAGTGAGGCTACAACGACTTGTTGTTTTTGTCGAGGGCATTGCCTCCTATTTATAGTTATCCCTGGGTCTGGCTTGATTTGAGACGAGATCCTTACCTTTCTCTTGTAACGGTCGTCTTATTGTGCAACGATTGCACTGGGTGTTGGGACGGTTACAAGATTTGCGTCTACTGAATAACTGTTGCTACAAAGGAGTTACTTGGTGGAATCTAGTTGTCCTCTGCATAACTTTCCTTGAGAGGCAAACACAGGGAGTTTGAGGTTTGAAGTCGAGATCTACATCTATACTACTCTTAAAAGACAACAACTTTGACAAACTTTTATTTTTCATTTATACCCTTAAAAAATACAATAATGTCATTTTATATCCTTGCAATTAAATTGAGATACCCTAAATAATGAATAATAATTTACTGCCTGTTTGCAACAAAAAGGACACCCCTTCAACTTTTTTTTTTTCAGCTTTACTCTACTGCATGTTACTACGCCTCTTGAAGTGCCCAACACTGCTTCAGATGAACCAACCGACACCTTGTTAAAACCATAAATCCAAACTCCCTTGTAATCCTTGTTTCAGATAAATAGATTCGATGGACAATTCAACTTCAGTGCGAGCCTGTGATGCGTCCTCAAGGGAACTCTCATCCACTGCTGATGTTCCCAGTCGCCCCTCCTTAGATCACTCGAATTTAGGTATAACATATAATTCCATGGATTTTCTAATAATTAAACTTCCTTTTGGTAGCGATATCCCTAGACTTTTTCCTATATTGTTGAACGGAATTGGGTTACTTTTGGCATGGAGTTCATGCTTCTTATTCGTAACCCATCTTTGAGATATCTTTTAGGTTGACTTCTACTCGGTGTGTTTTTCAATTGATGCCCTCAAGATATTTATGAACAGATCAAAATCCAATTATGTAAAGAGCCTAATATATCAATAATATATATTTTTTCAATCAAGAGTGCTTTTCTTTGGCTGTTTTATTTAGAATTAATAAGCAAGTTCTCACCTATTTCTCCACTCAAGTCCTTTTTAATGCACATAGATGTGCTCCAGATTTCTTTGCTTCTTAATTGTTCATGAAATGCTCAAAATTTCCAAAGAACTGACGGGCCTTTAGTCCAATGGTACTGTAACACCCCGCATTTTCTTTTATATATGTATATAGATATATAGTAAATAATTGTTGTAAAAATGGGGATATGTGTAGTGATGTGTGTTTGAATTTGGNAAAAGTATTAACTCGTCCTTTATAGATTTGAGCTCTTCAATTGCTTGCTTTAACTCAATTTTTGTAGATTTATTTATTTGGTAAAAATTATTTCTATGAATGAGACACGTATAACAGATTTGGATAATGAAATGTAAATAAAACACCCTCGATTTTTTTTTAGTTGGTACATTAGAGCGAACTTTAGGGGTGTAAAATATAATTTACCGCTATAAGTTATTTTTACCAAATTTTTGTTAAATTTGGCAGGTTTCTCAGAGACTTCAAAGGGGTGTTGTGGGACAGGAACTATTGAATATGCTGGTTCATGCAAAGGGTTGAGTACATGTGCTGATAGAACAAAATATCTATTCTGGGATGCAGCTCATTTCACTGAAAAAATGTACAAGATCATTGCTGATGAGGCTTTGACATCAGTCATTGAGAGTTTGTTGAACTAAGGATCATAAGTTTGGGTAATTGGTATGGTATAGTGGTAATGTGATTTAAGGATATTTTGGTATTTGGCAAGAATTTTTAATTAGTATGTATGACTATTTATAAGTATTGGGTTGTGTTGTACTTCCATGCTATGTAGTCCAATGTACTTGTACCCTTAATTGTAGAATTCTCTCTCTCTCTATCTCTCTCTCTCACACACACACACATCAAGTAAGTTAATACTCTCTTTTGACTTTTGAGAGTCTAACTCGAAACCTCATAATAGATCTCCTAAAATTTTCTTATTTGAGATATAATGATAGAACTCATATTGAATAGAGATTCATATACTACTACCAGTTGAAGTCTATCGAGATGATTTTTGGACACCTTTTTTTACCCCCACCCTTTTAAAGGAAAAAAAAAGAGAATCATATACTAATTGTTGCAACTAATCAAAAGCAGCTCTCTATGCTTGAGTTCACTCTTACTATATATAGTCATTCATGATGTTCTTAATATGATAGAGCAGTGATGAGAATATAAAGTGCACTGAACAATTAGGTTTAGTTCAGTTTGAACTTTAAGGCTCTTGAGAATAGAATCTAGGAAAAAAGGGGGGGTGATCAGACATAATGTTTATAGTGATTTATCAGTTCGGGAGCTCGACTAATCCACTCTCAAGGGAGTCTCTTACTCTTGAGTATATTGATCACTTGGGAGTTTACAGAAAGTATTTTAGTGAGGTTACAACGACTTGTTGTTTTTGTCGAGGGCATTGCCTCCTATTTATAGTTATCTCAGGGTCTGGCTTGATTTGAGACGAGATCCTTACCTCTATCTTGTAACGGTTACAAGATTTGCGTCTACTGAATAACTGTTGCTATAAAGGGGTTACTTGGTGGAATCTAGTTGTCCTCTGCATAACCTTCCTTGAGAGGCAAACACAGGGAGTTTGAGGTTTGAAGTCGAGATCTACATCTATACTACTCTTAAAAGACAGCAACTTTGACAAACTTTTATTTTTCATTTATACCCTTAAAAAATACAATAATGTCATTTTATATCCTTGCAATTAAATTGAGATACCCTAAATAATGAATAATAATTTACTGCCTGTTTGCAACAAAAAGGACACCCCTTCAACTTTTTTTTTTTTCAGCTTTACTCTACTGCATGTTACTACGCCTCTTGAAGTGCCCAACACTGCTTCAGATGAACCAACCGACACCTTGTTAAAACCATAAATCCAAACTCCCTTGTAATCCTTGTTTCAGATAAATAGATTCGATGGACAATTCAACTTCAGTGCGAGCCTGTGATGCGTCCTCAAGGGAACTCTCATCCACTGCTGATGTTCCCAGTCGCCCCTCCTTAGATCACTCGAATTTAGGTATAACATATAATTCCATGGATTTTCTAATAATTAAACTTCCTTTTGGTAGCGATATCTCTAGACTTTTTCCTATATTGTTGAACGGAATTGGGTTACTTTTGGCATGGAGTTCATGCTTCTTATTCGTAACCCATCTTTGAGATATCTTTTAGGTTGACTTCTACTCGGTGTGTTTTTCAATTGATGCCCTCAAGATATTTATGAACAGATCAAAATCCAATTATGTAAAGAGCCTAATATATCAATAATATATATTTTTTCAATCAAGAGTGCTTTTCTTTGGCTGTTTTATTTAGAATTAATAAGCAATTTCTCACCTATTTCTCCACTCAAGTCCTTTTTAATGCACATAGATGTGCTCCAGATTTCTTTGCTTCTTAATTGTTCATGAAATGCTCAAAATTTCCAAAGAACTGACGGGCCTTTAGTCCAATGGTACTGTAACACCCCGCATTTTCTTTTATATATGTATATAGATATATAGTAAATAATTGTTGTAAAAATGGGGATATGTGTAGTGATGTGTGTTTGAATTTGGTAGAATGAAAAAGGGATGAACAGTGCACTGGCTGTAACATCAAGCTCGATTTCGACCTTGATGCAGTCCATATCTCTCAAAACTTAAAACATGAAATTTGTAGAGCTCTCTCTTAGGATTCCATATCACCTTGAATCATCTCAATCGGAACTAGGAGGAAGGAGTTATGTCCATATTACGAAGTAGTGTCTACACTGTCCAAAAATCTGTCCGGCAGACTACCTTTCGCTAATTTCATCATAACTCTTTATTGGAAAGTCCGAATTGTGTACCGTTATTTTTGTTAGAACCCTAACTCGTATATCTTTCCAACCATATAGGTTACACCTCCTAGAAATACCTGAGTCAAATCAGTTTATTCTATGAAGTTGACCAAAAATCTGCACTATGGTGCTCCTTGGATAGTAAAGGGTTGTGCTTTCTTATTAGACCTTGAAGGTGTAAAACCCCATATGTTTACATTAATATATTAATGTACTTGTTTAGTGATTCTTCTATATGTAATGACTTAAGAATAAACCATATATATATTAAAATCGTAAGGATATCACCTATAGTAGTTCGAAGGAATAAAATAGAAATTTTAATGTTCCAAGTGTGAATTTATTTTAGTTTTGAAATAAATCATAAAAAGCAATGTTTTTAGGTTAAAATAACATTAAAAATGAATCCGGAACGTCGAAAAACCTTAGGGTAGTCGTATGGATCAAATTGGAGATTTCTAGTGGCAAAACTGTAATTTTGGAAAAAAACTCAAAATTCAGCCATGAACAGTGATTTGTCGCGGACTGCTGTGTTTAAAACACAGAATCCAGCCAATTTCTTCCATTTTTTCTCACATCTCTCACCCCCAAACCCCTTAGCACCCTTGGGGAAGATAGAGGAAAGGAGGAAAGGGAGAAAGGAGGTCATTAGAGCTTGGGTTTGTGGTTTGAAACTTTGATTCAAGGTAGGGGTTTTTTTTCCATGCTTGTCCATTGAGGCTAAGGCTAATATATATATATGTTTTGACTCATACTTGTATGTATTTGCTAGGAATTCCTTGTTTCTTGGTTTTCTTGCAATTATGGCATGTCTTAAACAAAGTTAGGATTGATTACCCATGAAACTTCTTTTATAGCTTTAAAACCCTAGTTTTTGGGGAAATATGGAATTCTCTTTCTACATTTGCTCAAGCTTGGTTTTGAGAACTTTAGTGCTTTGTGTGAGTAATGAAAATGATGTGGTGGTGATCTCTTGTATTTTTCTTAATTGGTTATTTGGATTGTCGCATGATAAAATTTGGGGATTTTGATAATGGTTGCTTGTTGAGGGCAATTTGTGGATTTTATCTTGTATGTGATTGTTGGTATGAAAAGAGGATAATTATGAACCGAGGTTACTCGTAAGTATGCGGTTAAGTGTGGAATACTTGAAGGGGGTAGAGGTTACTTGTAAGTATGCTACCTACCAAAAGAGGATATTTATGAACCGAGGTTACTTGTAAGTATGCGGTTATGTGTGGGAGACTTCAAGGGGGGTAGAGGTTACTTGTAAGTATGCTACCTACCAAAAGAGGATATTTATGAACCGAGGTTACTTGTAAGTATGCGGTTATGTGTGGGAGACTTCAAGGGGGGTAGAGGTTACTTGTAAGTATGCTACCTACCAAAAGAGGATATTTATGAACCGAGGTTACTTGTAAGTATGCGGTTATGTGTGGGAGACTTCAAGGGGGGTAGAGGTTACTTGTAAGTATGCTACCTACCAAAAGAGGATATTTATGAACCGAGGTTACTTGTAAGTATGCGGTTATGTGTGGGAGACTTCAAGGGGGGTAGAGGTTACTTGTAAGTATGCTACCTACCAAAAGAGGATATTTATGGACCAAGGTTACTTGTAAGTATGCGGTTATGTGTGGGAGACTTCAAGGGGGGTAGAGGTTACTTGTAAGTATGCTACCTACCAAAAGAGGATATTTATGGACCAAGGTTACTTCTAAGTATGCGGCTATGTGTTGGATACTTGAGGGGGGTGGAGGTTACTTGTAAGTATGCTACCTACCTAAAAGGACATCTAACGACCGTGGTTACTTGTAAGTATGCGGTTATGGGAAACAAAGACTTGAAGGGGGTGGAGTTTACTTTTAAGTATGCCACCTGCCAAAGGAAATATAATAATCGATGGTGGAATAAGCGTTCCTTTTTGTATTATGGTGTTACTATTGCATTTCCCACAAGAGCTTGTGGAGGTATGGGACTCTACAAGAACTTGTTGGAAATGGTTATGGTTGCTCATTGTGACTTGGGTTTACTGTTCATTTAAATTATTGCGAATGTTTAAACTTGAGATCTGTTTCAAATGTCACGGTTTTACTTCAAATGTTATATGATATTTTGGAAAATAAGACCGAACTGTTTTACTTGTTTTCTAAACCTTGTATGAGTATGGAAGGAATGTTGCTACAGAGCTTAGTGCTCATCCCCTACAAATAATATCTTTTCAGATTTCGTCTATGAGGAGGAGTTACAAGTAGATGAACCAGTGCATGGGGAAGCTCCCCTAGAGGGGAACGGGGGTCCTGAACTGGATGCCTAGAGTTATATTTCTTTTGTACTAGACTAGAGAGTTTATTTTGAAATCATGTAAAGTCTAGTATTTTGTTATTTCACTGCAAGTGTAATTTAATTCTTTTGGGAATATATTTGTCATACTTGGCCTATTCTTTTGGGATGGCATTGTGGATATGACATATGATGAATGAAAGTTTATTTTATGATGGATAAATAGACCCGGTGTGGTCAATAGTTATGCATATGTGGACCCGGTGTGGTCAATTGTAATATAATTGTACAGGTTGTGTTTTGGGTAAAGCTCCCCGTACAAAGGAGACTCTGCCCAAATTTTGTTAAAATATGAATGGTTGATGAATGAACTTTCGTCGTGATGAATTTACGTAATGCTCTCATGGGGTGAATGGTTTTTAGAATGTAATGTCACCCAAGGGGGTTTTTGGGGCGTTACAGGTACTACTTACCTTGTGAAGATTTTGCCTTCCTGAGTTTAAGGGTTCAAGCCCCTCCTCTTTCCCCTTTCCCCTTTCCCCC